CTCCTACCCTCTGGAAAGGTCTTTGTTCTCCTCCATGCCATGCGCCCTTGGTGCCTACTTCTCTTTTCTATTTGAATAATATTAGCTGAGTGACTGTACTTGTAATCCTACAGGCTGGCTGTAGTTTGACCCAACGGACCCTGTGATGTGATTCTACTGTGTAGAAACCCCACACAAAGCCTTCAGTGGTGACCCACTTTCCGACCTCTCCTGCCTCTGAGGAGCTTTCTTTTAATGAAACTCCCCTACTGTTCACCTCTGTTCTAGTCCATTCTTCATAACCATGAGACATGAACTCGACACAGGTTGGCAGTTACTTCCCTGCTACACTCAGAGCAGTGCTGAGGATCAAGCCCTTAAAGGAGAGCAAACACTGCAAAGACCCTCGCATGAAAGTGGAAGAGACCCAGCATCGGTACAGTCTTGAAGTAGAAACATTAGAAGTGTGGGAACCCAGGGCCCAGGTTCTTTAAAGCTCCATAAGTCAGCAGTACTGAATGTACAGATACTTAAGTGGCTGCAATGCCAAAGGATTTAAATGACTGACTTTAAAATGATTAACGACTTAAAAACAGTCACAGATAAATAGCTGCATGGATTAAAGAAGACCATTCAGGGTATAAGGGAGCAATTCATCAAAGAGAGATGGTGAACATCTTGGAAATTAAAAATGCAACAAGAAAAATAAAAGAAATACAGTGGAAAGCATTGCAAATGACCAGATCAAGCAGAGTACAGAATTTCAGAGTTTTGAAGACAAGGTTGAGGAATTATCATGCTTAGAGAGTAATAAAGAAAAAAATCAGAAACTATGAACAAAACACCCAAGAACTCTAGAACATGGTTAAAAGACCACGCTGATGAACTTTTGGTGTTGAAGAGCATTCCGAGCTTCAGACTAACAGCATAGAAAATGTCTTCAATAAAACAATAACAAAAAATCTTTTCAAGTCTTGGGAAAATTATGGACATTCAGGTACAGGAGCCATTTAGAATCTCAGACAGGCATGGTCAGAAAAGTCACCCAAAATCTCCTTGTAGTTTAAACGTCAAGGGTGCACAACAAGAAAAGAATAGCAAAGCTATAAGAGAGCAAAGCCAGGTCACTTCCAGAGACAAACCCCTCAGGGTGGCTCCAGACTTCTCTCCAGGTGCTCTAAAGGCCAGCAGTGCATGGAACAATGCATGTCAAGCCATGAATAAACATAATACACTCCATAAATAAATCAATGATAAATGTTACCAGATCATCTCAATACATGAAGAAAAAGCTTTTGACAAAATTGAAAGTTCCTTCAAGATAAAAGTCCTAAAGAAAGTAGGTATTGAAGCATCATAGCTCGGTATGGTAAAGGCTGTAGGCAATAAACCCAGAGCCAGCATCATTGTGAATAAAGAAGAAATGAAAATGTGGCCTCTAAAATCAAGAACAAGATCAGAGTGTCTTTTCTCACCACTCCTATTCAATATAGTACTTAAAATTTTAGCTAGAACCCATAGGGAAGAGAAAGAAACAAAAGTGATACAAATAAGAAAGGAAGAAGTCAGATTATCCTTATTTGTAGATGATATAAGCATGCACTTAGAGACTCTAAAGACTCATCAAAACACTTGTGCAGCTTATAAACAAATTCAGCCAAGTACCAAGTTTCAAAATCAATACTGGAAAATGGATAGCTTCTCTACACAGGAATAGTGCAGTGTCTGAGAAGGAAATCAGTAAAACAATTCTATTTGCAATAGCTTCAATAAAAGTAAATTATCTAGGAATCAATTTAACCAAGAGGAGAAATTGCTCTACAATGAAAATAAGAGAAGACTGAACAATAAAACTGAAGAAAATACCAGAAGATGAAAAGATTTTCCATGTTCATGGATCAGCAAAATGAATATTGTTAAACTGGCTGTATCATCAAAGCTTTCTGTAGATTCAAAGCAGTCCCCATTGAAATTGCAATGACATTCTTACAGAAATAGAGAAATATCCTAAAATTCACATGGAAACACAAAAGACCCAGAATAACCCAAGCAATCTTCACTAAAATAGCAAGGCTAGGGGCCGCATAATACCTGATTTCAAATTATACTGCAAAGTAGTAAAACAGGAAGGTAGCTACAGACTAATGTAGTAGAATGGAGGACAAAGAAATAAACCACACAACAACAGCCTTCATTTTTATTTATTTTATTAGTGCATGTTTGCATACACAATGTTCATGTTCCTCCTGTAGAGCTGATATGTACACAACATACCCCAGCTCCCTCCTCCATTCCCTCCCCCTCCCCTTACCCACTCCCCCCACCTCAGCCTTCTGATCCTTGACAGAGGGGCCAAAACCACACCCTAGAGAAAGACAGCACCTTACATGGCACCAGGAAACTGGATGTCCACATGGAGAAGGCTTAGCACAGTTCCCTATCTGTCCCTCTGTACAGAAATCAGTCCAAAGTAGAACAGAGATCTAGGTGTAACTCCCCAAACCTGGAAACTGGTAAAGAAAACATAGGGAAACGTAGGAGGTCACAGGCACAGGCACGACTTCCTGAATAGAACTCCAACAGCACGGAAAATAATACCAAGAACCAGCAGATGGGATTACATCAAATTAAAAGATTCTTCACAAAAATGGAAACAAATAATGAAGGGAAGGGACCACCTACAAAATGTGAGAAAATATTTTCTAGCTATTCTTTTGACCAATGATTTATTTCTATAATAAATACAAAATCCAAAAAAATTAACACCAAAAAATCAAATAGCTCAATCAAAAAATAGACCATTGTACTTAACACACACTTCTTAAAAGGACAAGTACAAGTAGCCAGTAAGTATATGAAAAAGTGTTCAATGTGGGATTCCATCTCACCCCAGTCAGAATGATTCATCAAGGATACAAAAATACAATAAATGTTGGTGAGGATGCAGGGAAAAAGAAAATTTTCTACACTGGTGGTGGGAATATAAATTAGTGCAGCCACTATGGAAATCAGTGTGGAGACTCCTCAAAAAAATTAAGCATTGAACTACCACACAGCCCAGATGTCCCCTCCTTGGAATGCGTCTGAGGGAATTACTGTCAGTGTGCGCTACGGATACCTACACACGTGTGTCTACTGTGGCACCATTCACAATAGCCACGTTCCGGACCCAGCCCAGGTGCCCGTCAATGATGAATGGATGAGGAGAGTGTTGTTCCTACACACACGGAAGTACTATTTAGCCATACAGGAGATGGGAATCATGCCATTTGCAAGAAAACAGGTGGAACTGAGATCATCCTGTAAGTAAAGCAAGTGAGACTCAGAAGGATAAGTTTTATATTTTCACTAATAGGTGGAGTTTTGAAAAGATGATATGAAAGTAGGCGGGAAACTATTATTACAGGGAGTGTAAGGAGGGTAAAAGAGGAATGGAAATTATCAAAATGCATCCCATACATGTATGAAAATACCATATCAAAACCCATTGTTTTGTACAGTTCATAAAAAATACATTAAATTGAAAAATATAAGAATGAAAAGGATGGGAGACTTAGATATTAGGATACATAAAAATATACTTTGTTCAGCTACATTAAAAGATAATTTCCAAAAACGTGGTAGATGTAATTATGAAATAACAAAGAGAAGTGTGTGAGTATTAAAACTAAGTTCCTTAGTGAAGAAGTCATAAGTTTATTAACCCTATTACATTTTTGAAGATACCGATGCTCGATATTTAACTTTTCTTCTACACTGTGCATAAGAATGACGATTAAGAGTGGTTAAAATGTAACATACTTTTGCTCCTCAAAACCAAAGTGAATCAGGGCTGGGGATTTAGCTCAGTGGCACCGTGCCTGGCTTGCAAGTACAAGGTCCTGAGTTCAATCCCTGGTACCGAAAACCAAGCAAACAAACAAACAAACAAAACACTATTGGGGCTGGGGATTTAGCTCAGTGGTTTTGAAGCCTGCTGCGCAAGCGCAAGGACCAGAGTTCGATCCCCGGTACCAAAAAAACAAAAAACAAACAAAACAAAAACCAAAGTGTATCACTGCTATGGACAAATGTTTTTTGAAACAGTAAAATTAAGGGCAAAGGAAAGGCATATTTCATTTTTTCCTCCTTTTCCGGTAAATTCTAATTAATATATCTTTCCATGAGGATATTTTTGTTGCACATTTATATTGATTTACGATGATAACCCAGAAAAGTATACACCATTTATAAACTCTCTCCTTTTCCCTGTCTCACCCTGGCTCTCTCTCCTCTCTTTCTCTCTCTCCTGTTGGAAATTCCCAAACTGATAGCCACTGCCCATGCCAGCTCCTGGCAGATGCCACAGGTCAGCTCTGCTGGGTGCTGTCTCTGCTGCTGACCCTTGTTGGCTGCTGGCCTCTGGGGCCCTTCAGTGCTAACCGGCCCTGGTGTTCATTTCCGTTTCTTCTGAAATTCCCTCTCTGTCCACAGCACTCAGGGTGGAAGTCCCAAGCAGATGCACAGCACCTTCGGAGGCCACACTCCCTGAGAAATGCATCAGGGGTGGTTACAGCACCACAGAGGGTGCCCTCATTTTGCCAGGCCTGTGCTGCAGCCCTAGGGCGTCCTCCTAGCTCACCAGGCAGTGTGGGAAGTGTGGCTTGTGCAGCAGCTGCGGACCTGGGGCGCGGGTGGGGGTGTCCAGGAATCTTCCAGAAGTCCCTGGGAGTCGGGGAGCAAAGGGAAGCACGGAGGAGGGGGACGTCCCTTAGCAAACCACTCTCCACTCTGGCCGGCCTGGGAAAGCAGAGCAGTCAGGAGCTTTTCTGTCTCAATAGGAGAAGAGGTGCGCTTGGCACCGTGGGGAGGACCTGGCCCTCAGAACCTGGTGCCAGAGCCCTGGGGTACCCGAAAGTACCGGCTAAGAGGCTTGGCTTCCGGACAGATGCTGCGGAGCCGGGCTGCTCCTGTTTCCTGCACAGCATCTCCTGGTGAGAGGAGAAGCTGAGACCCGGGCCTGAACCCCCCGGCCACCTTACCTTGAGAGGTGAACTTCGCCTCGACCCCACCAGGGGGCGCTGCCCCGCGGACCAGGGCCGCAGTGCGGGCGGAGCGGACCCGCTCCCACGGGGGGCGCTGGGGTCGGGAGGCCGAGCACACAGCCTGCCCAACCGCACGCCGTGCTCTCCAGTGTGGCGCCTGACAACTGCTGACCGGGTGCCGGCACCCACTCTGTCTCCCCGGCCCGAAGACCGGCTTTTCTCTGGGGAGCCTCAGCCACGCCCAGCGCCCTCCGCCCCCTCCTCATCAGCCCCTCTGCAGGGGCCCCGTCTGCGCTTGCGCACTCCCGCCCTGGCTCAGGGAGCCGCGCCCCTGCAGGGCTCTTCGGGCATGCGTGTCTTCTCCTCCGCAGCGGGTCTGTCCCAGGTTTTTCTCTGCAGAAAGTCCCCCATCTGCGGGGCGGCGGCGTGGAGCAGAGCTCTCTGGGCTCAGTCCCGCCTTTTGGCTGTCGTCTTCCGCTGCACGGGGTGTCACTCTGGGGAGGACAGTGGGGGAGGCGTCTCAGGGTCCCGTGACATCGCAGGTCACGCGTGTGCAGAGAGGGGGCCTGGAGGGCGGCCTGGCAGGGGCTCCCGCGGGTCCTGCGGGGGCACCCGGTGCGGGCGGGGGGAAGCCGAGCAGGGGAACCGCACATACAGGGAGGGTGAGAAACCCGGGATGCCGCTGAAGCCACTGCTCCAGGATCTGACCCACAGGAAGTGTGCTTTGCCGATCCGCTAGGCGGCGCACGAGACAATCAAGTTGACACTTTACAGGTAAGGGTGACAACTGGGACTGTGATACAAAGGAATTACTATTCTTTACGTTTTGTATTAGGAAAGCACAAACTGCTGGCCAGACACTTCAGTTTCCTATAATGGAGCCTAAAGGCTTGCCTGTCCGTCGTGTTGTGATTATAAAAGCAGATGTCCCCAAGCTCAGCATGACCACCTAGACAGGTTTAGTATATGTCAGAGCGAGGTAAGGTCCCCTGAGGTGCTCTAGCTGCAGCCGTGGGCAGCCTCCCCTGGCCTAGGTTACTGGCATGACACCATGGTGCTGGGACAGGTCACGTGTCCCCAGACCCATTGAATGTCTGGGCACGCTCAGCATTAAGTGAGTGAATACCAGCGTTTTGGAGTACGTGAGCATGACTATCAACCGCCAGATATGATGAACCTTGGTGTCATCTTGCTGATTTTCATCCCTTGCCCAGGACGTTATACATCAATATGAGACTCAACGATCCTATTGCTTTTCCTCAGTCTCAGGGGAGAGAACCATCCACCCATCCACTCCTGGAGCTCATATTGGCCAGCAACATGACTGAAAACTACTCATTTAATCCAAGCATGAAGGTGTTACTATCAGGAACTAAGGGTCCTGCACACTGAAAATATTAAAATCTGCTAAAATTTCATGACCATGCCAGTTACTGGAAACAGCCTTTTCAAATTGCTCCTGGTTATCTTGAGCATATAAGGGTGTATTGGCTCCTTTCTCCATGACAGAGGCATGTGCCTATTTCACTAGAGAGTGATTCCATATTATTAAATAAAATATGAAATAGAAGAGAGCATAATGTAGCTCTGGCTTATGCTGATTCTTTTTTTAAAAAATTCTTTTATTGGTACATTGTAGGTATACAACACATTTACATTTCTCATTGGGAATTGTACCTTTACATGATACATCTTGGTTCTTATTTTTTCCCCATTCCTAGCCCTCCCTTCACGCCC